AGCCTATTAAACTAGTGTTCTACATGATTTAGAAAATGGTTTGAAGTTTGCGCAGATTTCTGACTTCAACTGATGAAAATATGAAGTATTCTAACCCATCCGTTCTATGGCTCCTGATACTTGAAGTTTAAGCTACTGTACTTTGTGGTAGCGTAGAAAATGAGTGAACTTTGCATGTAACATTCATAGTGGAGTGTAATATTTTGCAGTTACTGTTATTGTTATTGAATACATACCTAATGTTTCTTAGCACTGATATCCTGAAGAGTTACGGATATACAAAACTTGATGAGCTGATGTATGTAAAGTCGACTGAATATAAACTGAAGGCAAAAAGTGGGGAAAAGATTGGGGAATGTGTAATACCTACAAACTGACTGTAGTACGCGAAGTAAAGATTATTTAAATCTGTTGCTTTAATGTGTACACTGGCGACTTACGTACATTGAAACTCATCAGTAAAGGTCAGGTAAGAAGGTGAGCCACAGCTAAAGTTGGATATCTGTTACTTCCACACCTTAATTGTGCATTCCTCAGCAGTCCACTAAATGGAAAAAAATTGTCTCCAGCAACTTATTCACTCCTCAATACCATAAATATTCAATTTACGCCAACAGTCTCTACCACCTTGATATTTCTATAATTTTGTAAATGATCCATTTTTTATTTCATCTCAGGTGAATGTGTCTAGAAAATATCTATCTACAGATAAACATGCCACTCTATTGAGCATCATATTAACTCTCATGAGAATAGAATAAAATGATAATCAGATAATCTGTCTAGGAGTTCAGAAAAGGAAATTAATTCTGCCCACCTACTCTCTCTCTCTCTCTCTCTCTTGGCCTAACTTTCATATCCGCATAAAAGAGAATGAATTAATAATATAAAAAGAAGGAGAAATAAACTTTTTCTTTCTATAAACTGATTAGTTTGCAGCAAGGTTGGAGTATCAGCGAAGTAACAAAAATTAAAAGAAATATAGTGCAATAATTAAGGGAAGAAAGAAGTTTATTCTCTCATGTAGATTAATTCTTACCTGATGACGAGCAGAAATAGCAAATTATGATCATTATTATTATCTTTATTTCTGTGAATATGATTTATTTAGATAAATTATTCAAAAAAATTTCTAACAATTGTAAATCTCAAGTTATCTTCTTTGTCCACTCTTCTATGATTTTTTTTGCTCAAAGAAACTAACTGACTTTTTTCAGTATTTTCTTAAACCATGTGTATTCATTGCTTATCAGTTTAAAAATGTTTTTTTTTTGAGAAAGTAACTCTTCAGATGATCAGCAGACTAAGTATCGACAACTAGAAGCACAAATGAAGCATTGTATTTATAAATATATATAATGTAACCTTTCAATTTTGTTTAAATCATTCGCACGCATCATTTAACCACCATGTCTCTTTCCGAGCATTTTTAAAATCTGTTAAAACATTCGCTTCAAAAGTTGATGGAAAAATTAACGAAATGCCTCATGGTAGACGGTGATGGGCTCTAAAGCGCAAACATTAGATCAAATGACCATTTCTAAATAAGTACCATATACTGTATGTGTCTGCCGAAATATTGACTACTTTTAGCTGGCTTTAGCTACAAAAGTTAAATGCAATATGGGTGTGATGGCGCTTCAAAAAACTTATTGTCTGGAATAAAATCATTATAGTTTTTATTATATATATATATATATATATATATATATATATATATATATATATATATATGACTTATAGGAATACAAAGGAAGGTTGAAAGTAAATTTCAATTCTTCAAACTAAAGTACTAGAAAAATTACTTAGGTGTTTATTCCTGACGGTTGTAGTGAATACCACTGACTTCGGATTTTCGGTTATTTAGAATTTAAGTAGTTGAAAACTATTTCTTATTTCAGGTTGACGTAAAACATGGACTGATATTGGTTGAAGAAACAATGCAAACTTGAGAGGATTGGATGGCTGTTCCGTCCTCGTATGGGACTCATCAGCAGTACGCTCTCATGACTCCCCCAAGGATTGAGTCCGGTCGCCTCCTGGTTCTGTGGTCAAGATATTACTACTGAGCCACTGAGTAGGAATCCAAAGTGAACTATTTCTTATGCTCGAAGATCTCTAAAACTTTGTAAAAACAACAGCATATGCGCTGATTGCTAGTTAGTGAATAAAAAATCTTACGCTCGTTCACTCGGTTTTATGGATTACACCAGTGTTAGAATAATAGAAACAATTTGTAGCTCAAGATGAGGATGATGGCAGTTTGGTACTTTTTGGACTTTTGTACTCAAGCTCAGAGAACATTGAACAGCCATCAAAGACAGTTCTGTTAGAGACCATTCATTACACAATTACTTTTCCAAAGCCGTCATACCAATATTTTGGGAAATGAAATACAAATTTGTTACCGTTAACGTTACGCACTTCATCTTCTACAAACGCCACATTTTTCTCATTGGAATCATATTCTGCATATTTCGATCATATTTGTTTTCAATTACTTGAATATTGCATGTTATCATGAGCAAATCAGTGCTAACGTTTTTGTGAAAGAAAGTCGAATATGCAGTTCATTCTAGAAATTAATTCTCTCTACGAAAATAGAAGAATTCATAGGTGGATAAGAATTCTTAATGTACACTAACTATTCAGCCTTTTATATTTCCTTAACGAATAACTAAAAGATCTAGTCAACTCGGAATACAGTACTACAAAATAGTTTCAGCTAAATTATGTACGAATTCGAAATTCTTTGTGTGATGAATAATTAATAGTTTATTAGGAATCAAATAATTACAAGATAAAAAGGAGATAGTATATATTATTATTACTTATCCCTTGGGTTCCTAGTGCAACAAAAGGCTTCAGTGGCACGTCTCCACTGCACTCTGTTCTCTGCAATCTTTTCAACCTGGCTCCATGACAGCCCACAAGCTCTCATTTCTTCCTCACACCATCTCCTTCATGTCACACTCACCTGGGACGCCCAACTCGCCGTTTCCCATTTGGGTTCCACTCGAGTGCCTGGCGCGTGGTGTCCCTATTCGGCCTTCTCAGTGTATGCCCAATCTATCTACACTTTCTTCTGCATATTTTTTGGGTGATAGGTTCTTGGTGGGTTTGTTGCCAACCAGAGTTCCTTGTTGCTTATTCTTTCTGGCAATCCATCTGATCTTCAGTACGGAGCCAGAGTAGGCAGTTGTTGATGAATGTCTGTAGTTTGTTGGAAATGCCATTCGTAACGCGCCAAGTCTCTGAACCATACAGAAGAACTGACTTGACATTGATGTTGAAAATCCGTATCTTGTTCCACATGCTGAGTGCATACGATCTCCACACTAGTTTCAGGCAAATAAACGCCTATCTTGCTTTTCCGATTCTGACTTTGACATCCTCGTCTGTGCCGCCTGTAGTTGAAACAGTGCTGCCTGCCTAGATAGGTGAAGGAGGTTACTTCCTTTAAGTTTCTCCCGTTGATGGTGATTGGAGTTTGTTGTTGGTTGGCTATCTTAATCACCTCTGTCTTCTCTACGTCCACTTGAAGTCCTGTCTTCGCCGCCCTGCCTCTTCTGTCAACTTGTTAGTTTTCGCCTGTAGATCATCAAGTTTGTGTAACATCAGACACAAGTCATCGGCGAAATCCAAATCTTCTAGGATCTTTTCCCCAGTCCAGAGTATCCCCCACTTCTTGCTCCTCACTGTTTGTTGCATGATTCAGTCCACCACAAATCAGGAAGATCATGGGTGATAGTAGGCAGCTTTGTTTTACTCCTGTCATCACTTCGAAAGCACCACTGAGCTTCCCATTGTGGATCACTTGGCATGTGGCGTCTTCATATAGTTGTTGAATGAGGTTGATAAACGTTTGTGGTATTCCGTAATGTTGAAACAGTTGTCAAATTATAAGGGAATATCTTTAAGCCATTAGTTGACATTTAAAACTCAGTTTATATTTTGAGATATATTTTACTGGATAAGTGAGAAAATGAAATTGACACCGCTTATAACAGAAATGCTGGTGATATAATTGATCAAAATGAATCAGTGTTTACTTTCCAACTTTGCAGCTGCTTGTCGAAACTGTAGTTATCCGAGTTTTAATCTGTTAGTGCTCATTGTGAAAAGAGCTATCACTAGAGTGAAGTAATATGGAACTTGCACTACATCGACTGTTAATAGTGTAAACTATAAAAGATTTACCTATTTCTTTAAACATTTTGGCTTTAGGTTTGATAGTCTATTATTTTTGTCCCATACACGAAAAAGTAAGAGAATACGGGCGATACCTAAGTCTTTTACTAGGCTAAACAATGCACTGACATAAATGACGATTGAAAAAATACTCAAGTAAAAGTATTACTAAAAATAATGTTTCTCAAATAAAACATGAAATTGTTAGTAGATTATGAAGCGACGTACAAGTAGTTTTTCATCTGATGATCTACATTTGAATTTCTACAGAGTATAAAGCATATCGTTTTTTAATTTAGCAATGGACTCATTAAGTGTTACACTTCTCAGACTAACTTGTTTTGAGGACCATTTCACTAGGAAGCATATCACTTTAGTTATGATTATGAGAATATGAAAGGAGATAATTTCATTTGTCAATTTGAAAAAGTACGCATGTGGAAAGATTCACTTACAGCTCTGGAGGTCAGCGATACATGTTACATCGATGAACTTATCATGCAGTCAACGGTTTTTTAATCAGTGACTCGTTTACTTCTGTCAATAACAGCTTTATTATAATCATTATCATTGAAAACGACCAGTCATCATTAGTGATCTCACTTTCCTAGCAGTGTATGCTGTGCATACAAAGTGTTTCACCAGTTTTGAAAGTTTGGATACTGTTATGCTATACATTACAAATCAGTATCGTAGCTTCTGGAGGACTTTATTGCTTTACTAAAGGTGACATGTACATTAAGCATAAGTAGCACTTAACTGTTAAAAAAAATCTCTAGACTTTGAAATAAATAAATACTAAAACTCACTTTCATTAGCATTGTATACTGAGATTTGTGCAGTGGCTGAATCTGAGCCAACATGATTCTGTGCAAAACACGTTACAGTATTCCCGTTATGGCTTAGTTCTAATTTAGCGCGTAAAGCAACACTGTCTGCAGATAATTCTTTGAATTGTAAACCTGGTCTGTTCTGGGTTATTTCAATATCATTCCAACGGAAGACAACTCTGGGTACAGGATTACCTTCAGCTTGACAGAAAAATAAAATCGATTCTCCAGCAATTGCTTTTGTATCCAATGGTGGATGAACAATTTTGGCTGGACCTAGAATTGACCAAACATTTAAAAGTGAGATAAGCAGCTAATATAGAATAATGTGAATCATTTGTTATTGAAATGTAGATTACATAATTCCACTTTTGTGCTGAAAAACAATTAAAAGAAGCAAACCATCTAAATAAGAAGGCTGAAGTTCATGACGTCGCCTGTTGGGCATACTTATATAGGTACCCAATAATTATCTACATTTGTTACGGATACTTGAATACAAAAACAGCTCGATACTTGGGCAAGCATTTCCTGATATATTTTCAAGTAATGGGAGGTAGATTCAATCGCAGCTACAAAGTCGGCTTTGTGAACACCTACCAGGATCTGAAGAAGCGGAAAACCAACTATAGCCATAAAACTAGTATACTAAAGAGCAATTTTTAAAAAACTTTCTAGATGTAATCTTTGCATTTAATTTGTACACCTTAATATTTTTATTAGTTTGCAAAACCTAATCCACTACAATCTACAATATGTTTCCATTAGTATTGTAAGACGTAATATGAAAGACAGGTGTTCTCATGCATGAACAACTACCTTAAATCTGCTATTTTAAACAGTAAGGCAAATTTACTATTGTACACGTTTATTGATTAAGCAGAAGGACATATTCACTTTATTTTTAAAACAGCAGAAAGGGAATATTTATTCGTACAATCTGACTGCTTGGCACTTTGTATTTGAGGTATATACTTGAAATTCATTTAAATGAATAAACCATAGTATTCATAAAGTTTGGCGTCACACAGAAACGTAAGACAGCTTGCTGAATGCAGATTTTGATTGGTTGGAGGTAATCTGCAGGAAGCTGTAAACTTACTTTTCGTGCCTGACAAATCAATGTATGAATATAGATTTATCTATCTCATACATCTTGGTTACCAGTCAATATCCATATGTTTTAACTACCCTGTCATTCATAGGGAACGCTTTATGGCAATAATAATTGTGGAATCAATATGGTAAAATGAGTGACAAGAAGAAAAATCTGAGCCGATCGTTGAATGTAAATCTTTTGAAGGGCATCAATACATTCAGTATATTAGCAACATCTTTATTCACCAATTTCTAGATGAAATCATTTTTCTTATATGGTCTCATTATGCCTATTCTGTTTGTGAATCGTATTTGGTTGCCTTCGTAAGGTTTTGTGCGATGATATCCATATCCTCTACATGTATAATGATTATCATCTGAAGGATATAATTCAACTTGTATACGATAAAAAGTTTAGAGGAAATTTCAGGTGGATGTTTTGCATGTTGCAACGGCTGAGGTTTTCACATAATAGAAAATGATTGAGAATAATCCTCAGAACATAGTTTAATAGCAAAGCTATTAGAAAACCACACATGTAATACAGACTATCTGAATTCAAGGTTGGAGGTCTCCTAATTACATCCATTTGGTGTATCCTCAATCTGGTATTTACGAGCAAGCGTGAAAAAGGTTTAAGTCCTGAAGCAGGCAGCCTAGGAATGACTCTCTTGTTAGTTAGATTACTCCATGAGTTCAATATTTCTTGTACGAGAAGGTTAGGTTTTAAGTTGGGTCAAGATAATCCCCACTGCTTTTTCACTTCAGAAAAGTAGGATGATTTTAAGCATTTTAACCTAGTTGTCTATTTACACTTAAAATACATCGAATTTTGCAACGAAGATTGAAAAGCTTTGCAAAGTCATACAAAACTCTTGTTCACATGGCAACGAAACGGGTTCCAAAACCTAATATCATTTCAATGGGTGAATTACAAAAACGTAAGGGTAAAACTTGAACACTGTGATAAGTAGCCATTTGATTTAAGGTCGTACATTTAGAACATATCATCTACATCTATCAGCAGTGCTCAATACAAATACTCATGTCAACCAGTAGTATATTTCATACAACTCTTATGTCCGCATTCTGTATGGCAATTTTTATGTGGAGCAGATCATGTCATGTTGTCTGAATATTTTTAGTTTCCGAGGGAAACTATGGTGATATTTTTCAGACATTTAATTGAACTTTAGGTATGACTAGTTTGCTGGCTAGAATTCAGGTGCTTTACACAACTGGATGGATATATGTCTAACATGGTAACAACACAATAATACTATTTCTAGCGATTAATCCTTCTTTAATCACAGTCGCTTTTTAGACAACTGATTAATTTCGTTAAACTAGTCTAGCCAAATTGTTTCTCTGGAGAAAACGGCGTTTCTAGTCAAGATTTTTCATGAATCATTCAGTTTTTATGCATTTTCATAATGATTAGTGTTATTATATGTTCACTTACAGACACCTATTTTTACTACAAGTAGCCTAATCTGTATATAACGTGCAAAATGTTACTTATTGTATTGTTTCTGTTCCCGAGAAGAAGTATGAAATAAACGTAAACTTTTCATAAGTGGTAAACGTCATCCAGAGTTTTTTGAACTGTGTTAATGACCATGTATTAAGTATATAAAGCAAAAAAATATCACATTCGAAATTTAGGAACTAGTGACTACCGACTGCATATAACGAAGTCATCAGGCAATCAGAATGGCTTGGATTTGGGCACACGGATTGAAGGTTTCATTACACATTGATTAAATGATATGAACCACAATAAGGTTTCCTGGACTATGACATTATTAAAAACGACTTGAGATCACTGTGAAAGTTAGTGTTAGGTTAGAACATTTAAGTTGAACTATATTTGGGAAGGCTAATACATTAAATTGCGCTGCAGGCAATCTTCTGAAGTGAAATATGATGGAAGAGTACCTTGAAAACTTTCTATCAAATATACACACATAGTGTCTACACACATACACTTAAATGATTACGCGGCAATTATTTTTCAGCTAATCGGTTGATTCTGTTCAATGAAGATTAAGTTTACACATTTTTGCCTTAATTGATATGTTTATAAGGTTAGCTGTAGTATGTTTGTGAATCTGATCAACAGGTTAACATTCTAAGGCGATTTATTACATTGTCCAGCAGCCAGCTCATTAAGTAAAATCATGTGTCAAAATCTATCATAAATGTTTTCTTATATTCAGCTATACAGAAATAGTTATTAGACGACTTCAATAAGTTCATCTTTCATTTGGTAGGCATATTAAAAAGGTAGGCTACTAGAAATGGTCTTTGGGAGGTGTGATTCACTAAATCATCTCCTTGGTAAATGTTAAAATTATAAACAAGTAAAAATAGTTTGCACTATCAGAGTTTTCTAAGCGCAAGTCAACTTGTAACGAAGATTACTTGGAACCAATTTGTTCTACTAGAATGTTTTTAAGGAAACGCGACGAAATGTATTGAATTCATCAGCTGTTTTTGGCTTCGGAAAAAAGCATTATAGGAATATATTTTAATATAATCAAAATAAATTATTTTTGAACGTTTCGTTGTTTAAGCCATAGCTTCTTCAGCAGAATGTATAGCTTTTTTTTTAGTTATCACATTAAAATCCGTATATTCTGCTGAAGAAGCTGTGGTTTACACAGCGAAAAGTTCAGAAATTACTTGTTTTGATTTTCTAAAATATATTCTTATAGTGATTCAATCAGACTCGGCGCTCAACGTCCACCAGGAGATTCGTAACAGCTATGGTCTGGATACACATAATCTTCTGAAATAAAGGTTTGGTTAAACTATATTGTAATTTTAAACTTTAGCTGAGCACTGGGACACATTCTTACAGGTTATCATCTATTGAGGACGATATTTCATCAGAGTTTTATATATATTATGGGGCAGCATATTTAATCAGTGTCTGTATTTGAGACGAATAAGAATGAATTGTTGTTTAGTTAAGTTGTTTGAAAGTAGTCTTCACTGAAAGCTAGAGAAACATTCATAACCGGCTAAAACTTGACGGTTAGTTCTTTCCAGTTTGAGATTTATTGGCCAAATGCCACGTGGCCATGTGCCAACTTCAAGACTTGAAATTATACATATTTGTGTTGTTCAGAGTATACTTATATTGAATTGGCTGCCCAACAACTGATAGTTTCCAAAGTTTTTCAGCTGTCATAACTTCACTATGTACAGTTTGTTTATATTAACGAAAACGAATACCTTTACAGTTGAGCAGCTCACAGTTCTCTATTCACCAAAGTTAATAAAAACCTTTGAAAAATACAAAAAATATATGTTTGTTTACGTTGACTGGTCATTAAAGAGCAACCGGTCTTATGTTATCTAGTCCTGAGTGCGCACCAAAATCTATCGATCACTTTGAGATGTAACCATCAAGCTAGGAGGTTCACCATCGTACTGCACTTTGGGTAGATGTAAGGTGGTTGGAGGTAGTCAGTTTCGTGCTTGTTGGCACTGTTAAGCAAGGCGTATCTGCAACCTCTACGGAACTAATGTCCTCTTTGAGATTCACACCTGCGTCGCCCAGTGCTGAAGTAAGAAACATTACCGCTGAGCTTTTTGGGCTGCCATTGGCCTCTTGTAAGACTGGATTAGGTACATTTACTAGTCACTGGACGGCAGACGATTTAGTGTTGTCTGGTACGGACCAAATTCAATCAACCGTGTTTCCACACTAACTTTCAGTTTGTTTTTAGCCTTCTTGATACAACTTCGAAGTCAATCATAAGTAACTGTACGACAACTTACACAGGGGTGAAAATCAAGTGTCAAAATGTTACTTCAGTTGGCTGTTTTATTAGTTAAAATGGTTACAGTTCAATTTTAACCCAACGTTACGCTACAAATTATCCTCTGAATTATCTATGAACAATATGAAAATGTTAATATTAAATTGATGTGGACAGTTCACTTATCGCAGAACAATATTTCTCACTTATTCATGCTGAGTTACTTACTTTAGTGAATTTTTTCTGCCTTTGCCTAAATGTAAGGTGCTGTAGGCTTCAAAATGCATTTGCACCAAATACATTTAAGTACATTTGCTTTTTTAAACCCAGAATTCCCGTATATTGGAGACAAGAAATAGATACAAAGTAACATAAAAGAACATAAATGTTAAGCTACTATGTAGGCATACTCATTCACGTCCACACATAACCATCTAAGAGTAAGCACAAGAAGAAGAGAATGAAGTGCCATCTCAGTCCACCTCTTATCATATCGTTGGGCAAGACAGGTAGTCTCCCCAATTAAATAGTGTACATATGAAATCAACATCACTTCTCGTTTCTAAGTGTTTGTATTTCTCAGGCAGAATCTTAGATGGCTTCCTGACACGATTGCTTCAAATTGTTTACTTCTTGTATCAGTTTATTTGACTGCACGCATAAAAACAAGCATTTAAGTTATGTTTAGCAATGCAATTGACTACTACGTTGCTGCAAGTGAGCATATCTCCTTCAGTAAATTTTACTGTTCACTAACTTATCGATTAG